CGTCAGCGACAGACTGGGGGGGGCTGTTTACGGGCCACGGGGCCCCGTCAGCGACAGACTGGGGGGGGCTGTTTACGGGCCACGGGGCCACGTCAGCGACAGACTGGGGGGGCGTGCAGTTACGGCGACAAGCCCAGCGCTGAGCCTCCACGGGGTGCACCCGCCTTAGACACGGGCGCGGCGGGGGGCAGGCCCCGCGCCCTAAAGCAGCCGCCAGGGGGCGGGGCGCTCCGCTCGCGGCCTCCACCCCGCGCAGCCTGCCCGGCCCGGCGTGTCCGGGCTCCGGGGCGCAGCTCGCGGGCGCGGGGTGCCTGGGGGCGGCCGCGTACTCACTTTTGGGGCCTGTAGTCCGGGATGCTCCGGTCCAGGGAGATGCGGTCGCTGAGCTGCGCGTTGTACCCGTACTCCTCGTATTTGCTCTCCGGCTCCTGGCTGTCCTCGCGCAGCGTGGCCGCCACGCCGCCCTGGCCCAGGCCCCCGGGCCCCTCCACCAGGCCGATGGGCTTGGCGAGGCCTGGCGGGAGACGGAAAGGGGGGCGGTGAGCCAGGCCCCGGGACCGCGCCCTCCCGCGCCCGCCCCTTCTTTCAGGCCGAACTTGGCCGCCCCCCTGCTGGCCACGGGACCCTGACTCTCGGGATTCAAGGAAAGTATTAATTTTAAAAATTAAAAAAAAAGTTAACTTTAAAAATGCATGCTCACCGACCCCTGCTCTTGTGGGTATTTCTGACCTGCGCGCAGTGGGATGGAGCTGACCTGGGGGCCCAGCCGGGGGACGCGGCCTCTGGGCAGGGCGGCAGGGCCACCAGGCGTGTGTGCACACGGGCTGCCTGACAAGGCCAGGCCAGGGGCTTGTTCTTCTGGAACGTTCTTCTAAGTGCTCACTTGTGCCAGAGGGGAATGCAGCTCCGAGGGAACCAGACACCAGCGCAGCACCCACAGCGCGACGGGTGGGGGGACAGCACCCTGGCTCTCTCCGGGGCGGGGACCCTGGTCCCCGCCCAGCTGCGTTTACTAGTGCGCAGTCCCGCCCCACCCGACTGCAGACACTCTGGAAGCACCAGACATCGAGGTCACACCGAGGGCAAGGGGCCTTCTTCCGGCCACCCCTCCGCTGAGGTTTGTTACTGAATGAGGCCCCAGGGGGCGCAAACGAAATCCAAGCTGTAACCACCTCCAGTCTGGCCCCACACCTCCCCTTCCCACTCTCCGGTTGCTGCTGCCCTTGCAGGGGAGCCCCAGGCCTCAGAACCTCGGCGTTTTCCGGAATCCTCCGTCATAAATCGGCAAACCGATGTTGGTATTTACGTAGGACAAAGGATACACAATGGGTGTAAAATTGAAAAGTTATGTGATACATAAATCATTTCCGCTTATTTTAATATTGCAAAAAATATTTATAATCATGCTATTTTTAAACGTCCATGCTGCGCTGTTTTTTCCACTTTGAAAAGTCTGTAAATAGCCACCTCCCAAAGGCAGAGGTGCTCCCAAACCTGAGGGGATCGCAGTGTCGCTGCCCAGGGGCAGGCCTGGGGCGGGGGGTGGGGTGGAGGACCCAAGGAGTGGGGCTTGGAAGGGGTGGGGCCTGGGGTGAGGCCTGGAAGGGGTGCTGAGAGGTGGGGGGTATGAAGGCCTGGGGGTCCTGGGGAGATGGGGCCCGGGTGGGGTTTGCAGGGGTGGAGCCTGGGGTGGGGGAAGGATGGGGGGGGGGGTGAGGGCCAGGGGGTGGGGCCTGGAGGTGGGAGCCCACAGGGGGTGGGGGCCCAGGGTGGGGTGCGGCCCGGTGGGGGCCGGACAGGGCTGGGCTGGAGGAGTGGGAGAGACCCAGCCCCTGCGGTCAGGCCCTGAAAACTCCCTGGCTTCCTCACGTCACTTTTAAAAGTCACTTGTAAAAGTGAGATACACACATGTCAGAAAATTCAAACAATCCAGAAAGCTCTGGAACGAAAGACTGTTTCCTGTGCCAGCCCCACTCTGCGAAGGACAGTGCTTTTCTGGTTTGAGGTCTTTTCACTCCGTCGCGTCACATGCCTGAGGACCTTGTGGTTGCTCTCCCTGGACGCCTGCAGGGTGCAGTCCGGGGGTCGGTACCCCGGCCGCCGCCCTCCCAGCCCCCAGCTGCGGTGTTACTCTTGGTGAGGCCAGCGGCACCTTCGTGACCTTAAAAGGAATGCTTTTGTCTCTATTTCTGGAAGTGTCACTTTGGACGCAGCCTGATGACTCCCTAGCGTTAAAGGAAAAATTAGCATTCTCCCAGGAGCTCTGCTCAACGGGCGTGAGTTTCACTCACACGTATGGTTTTCCACTTATACAGACTCGTAAACATGTACGAATAAGCCCGCCGTCCGCCGCACGACACTGTGCTCGTTAGCAACACCGTGTTCATCGTACACCGTAAGTTCTGTCGAGAAGGCAGTTTGCATGTTAAGTGTTCTTACAACAATAAAACCTTAAAAATAAGACGATGAATGACCCCCAAAAGAAAGAAATAGCTATGCCATTGCTTCGTCATCGTCCAAGGTCACTTAGAACATCTAATTTTGCTCCACAACCGTGACCCAGGCCTCTTCGGTCTGTAGGTTGGTTCTAAACTGAGAAGTGACCCCACATTCACCCCCTGCTCGCTGCGGGGCGCATCGGGGGAGACACCCCACGCCCCGGGCACCCCTCTGCCGAGAGCTTTCAAAGGTCAAAGCAGCATCGCTTGCTTTTCAGAGACTATTAATTTCCTGAAATTACGTGCATTTTGGTTGGCTTTAGGCTTGGATCTTGGCTTTTGGTACCCTTTTTAGAGTGAAGAGGTAAAGTGATAGCAACAATTTTTACACAGATTGTGCCCTGTAGACATAGGGACTCGGCCAGCAGGCACATGCCCCATGAACCCAGGCCCCAGACAAGAGCATCTGCTGGCGGGGGGGGGGGGGGGAGCGGATTTCAAGGGGAAGGGAGGCAGGCGGCCTGTGACACAGGAGAGTGCGTGACCACCAGTGTTCCGTAAAATCTGTGAAATTTGCACAAGGTGTTTCAGAGTTTTTGGTGCTTTTACAGAAAGTGAAAGATGAATGTCCTCGTCACGAGGGAGCACCCTAAACCCCGATGTGGAGCGAGGTGCCAGAGAGCAAGGCCCTGGGAGCCCGGAGTGTTCCGAGGGCGTCGCTGGGGTTGGGGGACCATCTCAGCCAGAGGCTGAGGGCTGGGCTGACACCCGGTCCCGTTCGAGTCTCTCTGCTGGCCCTGAGTGCCCCGGGCCCGGCGCCTAACCCTGAGTGCTGGTTGGTGGGCGATGGGGTCCCCGGCAACTTCGGGGTGCTGGGGACCCCTCATCAGCTCTTAGAGAAATTCCGCAGATTCTCCTTGGTGGTGATCATGCTATAAAGTCCCAGAGCACAGAATCAGGTGACACTGGGCTGTTGCTCCCGGGGACACGTGGGGCCAGCTTCCCGAGAGGCCCTGGTCACACTTCCATCAACCCAGCAGTACACACCCCGGTTTTCCGTGTGTGAAACACACGCTGAACACGTACTTTTGACTCATCGGCCGGCAGCGTTTAACTCACGTGTGGACAAGCCCACATGCTACACGCGTGTTCTCAGCAAGGCACCGCCTTCCGAGCTGCCTGTCACCAGACGGTGTCAGCGGCAGGCCGGGAGCGGTTCGAACAGCGAAACCCACAAAAGCATGGGCGCGTGAAAAAGAGGCGCTGAGAGACCTGAACAGGACACTTGTCTAGGGCGGGGGCGCTGGGGCAGGGCCATGCCTTGTGGTCCCAGGGCCGGCCTCAGAGTTCCCGCCACCGCCGCAAAGACGCCCCAGCACTAGTGTGGGTAGGAATGAACCCGGAGAGCGGGCCGCGAGCCGAAACGGCACCCCCGAACCACGTGAGTGCGCGCGCCCCGGTGCGTGGGCGGCGCCTGAGCCCCCTGGCTGCACCCCCCGCACCCCACCACCTTGGCCCTGGGGACAGGGGCTCCTCAGCGGAAGAGGGGCTGTAGTCCTGGGGCCTGGCTGGGACACAGACAGCAGGGCCCACACGGAGCGGCAGGTGCGCAGGGGCAGGGTGGGCGAGCACTGGCATCTCCAAGAAGCTTCCAGACATGCAGATGCTGCCTTCCGGGGACCCCACTTCCGCGTGGCCGGGGGGGCGAGTCGTGTGCCGCCGGCCCATGCAGGGGCTTCATGCGGAACCCACCTGTGGCTCCAGGTAAGGGTTCCGGGCTGGTCACTGGGCCTCGCCCTGCGCCCTGACCTCGGAGCAGCCGCGGCAGCTCTGAGGGGCTGGCCCCGGGGGCACCGCTGGGGAAGACGGTCAGAGCCACCAGCCCAGTTAGGCGTCCGCCACAGCCGGAAGGTGTGTTACCGCTCCGCTGATTCAAAGCCCGTGGATGTGATTTAGCTGTGAGGGGTCATGCACGTCAGGGCCTTCCTGTGGCGTTTCTGGGACCCTCATCTTCCCTCTATCTGGGAGGCCCAGCGTATGTCTCTCTCACAGAGTTCCTTCTAGAGAGGCAGGGTTGCTTGATCCTCGGGTAACAAGGGCAGATGGAATCAGAAGGAACTTGTGAAAACTGAAGGTGGCCTGTCGTCACTGGGGGCCCAAAGGCTGGATTCCACTGAACTGCTGGCCAACAGCCAGCCAAGGGGTCTACACCTAAAGACACACTCTGTCCTCACATCTCCCAGAGTTCTGGCTTCCGAGCACCCTCGCTGGGTGGGGTGAGGGCAAAACGTCCCTGTTCCTGCCTCCACCCTCAGGGGCTTGTGCTCTTGTGAGCCAGGCCACCAAACGGGTGACCTGCGGCTTGGCGGCTGTGTGGGCAGAATCGTGGCTAGGTGCTGGCCCTCCCGATCTGTGGCTGTGGCCTCATTTGGAAAGGGGTCTCTGCGCAGGTAATTAGTTAAGATGAGGTCATCCTGAATTGAGTCCTAACCCAATGGCTGGGTCCTCATGGGAAGAGGGGATTTTGGACACAAACACACACAAAGAGAAGATGGCCATGTGACGACCGAGGAAGAACCTGGAGGGACACGCCCATGAGCCAAGGAACATGCAGGGCCGCGAGATGCCGGACGAGGCAGGACGCAGCCTGGAGTCTGGAGAGAGCAGAGCCCTGCTCCGCCGGGATCTCAGGCCTCTGGCCTTGGACGGTCCGCTGCGTGTGATGCTTTGTCAGGGCCACCCCAAGAGACCAGGACCGGCTGCCCACACAGCCACCCAGACCTGCAGCCAGCAGATCGTGACAACTGGACACACTGATGCGAACCATACATCGGACGGCACTCAGCTCCGCCGCTCTCGGGCCACCCTCATGGGCAGATGCGGGTGCAGATCACAAAGGCACCAGCACTTCCTGAGGGAGAGTGAGAGGTGGTTTTCCTGCTAGAAATATTCCACTTCCGTCTGCAGGCCACTGAGAGCCCCAAAGTCTTGCTTCCACCCTTGAATGAAACCTGATTTTGAGAACAATGGGAAATTTGCGTGCATTAGCTCAGCCTTTGAAATGTCTGTCCAACGA